AGAGGGAGAAGAAGGAGAGGGGGAGGAGAAGGAGGAGGAGGAGGAGGATTAATAGAACTGTAACCTAAGGAGATGATCAAGAAAATGGTTAAAAAAAAAACATGTACCTGAGCATCAAAATTAATTTACATGCCTGTGAATAGGAGATCAACTAAATATATTCCCATTATAAGATACACGACATAATTATCTTTTTTTGCACTTGTGTTCTCTGGCCTTTCTCACATTTCCATTTACAGTTCAGACAACCTGCATTTCTACTAAACTAATTCTATAAAAATTTTTCATACTGATGTTAGCAAAAGCATCTACTTTGCCAAAACCTGTGGACATATTTCAATCTCCAAATGACTAACCTCTCAGAAACACATACCTTTCACCTCTCTCCTGAAATCCTATTCCATCTCAACACGTTTTGAGTTACTATTCCCCGTTTTTGGTCACCGTGATATTGTGTGCTCCTGGATTCTCCACAATTTCCATTGCCTTTGCTCCTTTTGCTGACTTGAAAATTGACAGGAAGCCAGGTCTTGGCCCTACATCATTTCTCTTAAACTGTAGCTCCATTCTATGCTGGGATATTTTACCCACCTTTATAGTTTCATTAGCAACTATTTTCTCATTTTTTATCTCCAGATTGGATTACATATGAAACCGTAGATCTAATTTGACCTTCCATATTTCTTACAAGAATGTCTCCTAAACGTGTCCCAAACCACACTCCTTATCCTCCCACACATCTGCTAATGAGGTACTCCCCAGGACACAATGTGGTACAGCAGTTCACCCTGTTCTTATCCCCACTCTCCTCCCGACCTGCATCATGCATGCTATCCTTTCTCCTTCAGATATGTCACACGTGAGTTGACTTCTGTCTCATTCATCATGGTTTTATTCCAAGACTCCTCCATTAGGACTCTCCATAATCACTATACCCTCTTGGTTATCTTCTGTAATCCTACTCTAACTCTTCACCTCAAACCAAAGTTCTTTGTGAGATTATCATTTTGTGCCGTCTTTCTTCCCACAGTATATTGGCTAAATAAAGGCAGATACTTAGGATTATTTCATGCCATATATATTTCATGTATATGCCATATATTATATATACACACATATATATACATATACATATACATATATATATATATATATATATATTTGGCTCTTAGCCTTCAGAATGACATAGAAATAAAGATGAATATTTGTTCAATGAATAAGTGAATATATTGCAGTTATTTGTCTCATTAAACAGCAAGATCCAAAATTGTTAGGGATAGAAATATAGGAGGAAGAAGTTGGGGAGTAGGATTTTGAAATAGAAGTCATAAAAGAGTTGCAATGTTTGGTACTAGCAAGGTCTAGAATATAACCATGGGAAGGTAGAGTTAAAGAACAAATTCAATGGAGTAGAAAACTTCAAGGTACTGACAGAGATTCAAATGCATTTACATGGTTACTAACATCACCAAATCTCATGACATCCGTGGGAAAGGAAAGGGAGTGAATGCACTAGGAACTAACATCTGCTACAGTTAGGATTTGTTCATGAATAATGGAGAGGAAGGGAGGGGTCCAGTTTGAAAGCTAAATGTATTTATATAAAACCTAGCAAGACAAATCCTATATACTATAAGAAAATATGAGCACCTTTTAAGAAAAAAAAACCTGCTGTCAACTTAAAATAATTGTGATGAAATAAATGAATGAAATTTAGAATATTAAGTATTCATTTGATTATTACCTTCCTTTATGCCCTTTGTGACAAAATAACACAATTCAAATGAATAGATGAGAGAAAGGCTGAATATCTCACATTTAAATAAACAATTTAAAAGCAGATATTTAGGGAGCAAGCATAAGGAACAATTGCTACAAAGATCCATTCTCCAACTGCTACTACAGAAAGGCAATGATCCTTGCACAAAGTTTGAAAACTCATTCCTCATTTGTATTTAAAGCAACTCTTATGTCTAGTGAACAAATCTTATGTTAAAATTATAGAACTTTTGTGATTTTATAGAGAAATGGTTTTCATTTAGTTCATGCTAACGGACAGCCAATTCTGTTACCAGCATAACAGTGTATCTGATAAAACAGACAGCTGTTTCATATCTAATGAAAATAACAACCTAGCAAATTTTTAGTTTGAAATCAAATTGATTAATTGTAGAAAGAATAATTTGGTAATTTATCAGTTAAAGACATAAACATACTTTATAAGGATGCCGTAGTATTTAAATGCATCCATGCTGCAATTCAGAAAAGTAGAAAATATAGTCATTTGGTCACGCAAATTTTCTCCATGATATTACTCATTTGTCAGTGTTAAGTCTTGTTCAAACTGCACACTAAATAATTAATGCAACATCTGTGTATGACTGGATAAGAGCGAAAGGGTCCTCACAGCTTCCTATGTCCATAAAATATGAACACTAAAATATTCTCGTATGTACATGACGAACACTAAAATGTTTTAAAGAAATCAAAGCATGATTGTTATTAAATTTTCTGGTTTAAAATATATCAGTACCCATTTGGTCTTTCCCTATAATCTTATAATCCTACTTTCCCACTCAACATTTATACTTGAAAATTCCTAAAAATGCTGTGCATCATTTGAATATTTGTGACTGCTACCTGCTTGTGGTTATGCATTTTTCTGAATCTGGCCCTCAACATTATTAGGTTAATTATAATTGCTTTTTAATATAATCACTTATATTTTCTAAATTATGAGTCAAACTGTACTGTATGCCTAAAATGTACCAATAAACTCAATGAGGAAATAAAATATGTTTGATCTCAAATCAGAAAAAAAAATTATGCAAAACTGACATTCAGATATATGCTGTTGATAAACATTCATAGATGAACTGGTATACAAAATTATCTAATTGCTGAAATACCTGTGGAATCGATCTGAATTAAAGACATTCAGGAAAATTGATCAGGTCTGGCCTCGTACCTGCTCGATGCATTCACCAGTGTCTTCAAGCTACTTGGGCTGCGAATCAGCTTGTCCAGCATGCTGACTATGTCATCAAACTTGGGCCTGCTATTTCGGTCTTTCTGCCAGCAATCCAGCATTAACTGATAGAGAGCAGCGGGACAATCCATGGGGCTTGGCAGTCGGTAGCCTTCCTCTACAGCTTTAATCACCTGCAGAAAGCAAAATAGATCCAGTCCTCCAGTGTCACACAAATAACAGAGAGGGGCCTGAGAAACAACCCGCATCCAACAATTTTATTTTTCACTACTATTTTGCAATAATAAACAGAATCACTGTTTTTTTTTTTTTAATTCACTACTGTTTTCATTTGCTGGAAAATAAAAACAAAGAAACACAATATATAATATGATTAATACTATATAAAGATAGGATTTCTTCACATATTGTAAACAAAATAAATGGATATTATTTTTACCTAAAACCTTTGTGAAGGATGATTTGTAAGATTAATTGACATAAAATATACAGTTCATGTTTTATGTATCATTGCATTCTGGAGTCAAACAGATTAAATTTTCTAGTGATTTCTCTGAAAAGTTAATGGCTTTTTAATGAAAAAATATGTGCAAAGTCACATTTTAAAAGTAACAGAATGGCAATTTTACTTCAAAAAAGACTTGGAGGTGGTAAATGATGAATAAATCAAAGGCTAAATTAGCATAACCATCTCATGTATCATTTAATAATATCAAGGTCTGAGTGTTTATTAGCATCCACTGATTTCTGTCAGGAATTTGGAATGATTGTCTACTAGTACAGGTGGCATGAATGTCATTGATTTTAAACATAACCACATATGTGAGTATCAGTCTAATTGTAAGGTTCGTATTGAAAAATTTGTAATATTTCGGCTGCCATCAAAGTTCCTAAATTCCGAAGAGATTTGTTCATGCAACTGAAAGTAAAAATACAGTTTTTATGCAGTTATCAAAGCTTGAATATTTAAATATTCAAAACTAATATTAAGGGACATAGTTCTCAAAATCCTATGACAAATGTATCTTTAACAAATTTAACTTTCCTATAAAATTAGACTTGGTTAATAGATGGAAAAAGTTATTAGAGCCAGAACTTCACAAAGATGATTTTTATGGACAGGAGAGAAATCACTCTTTCTGTGAGAAAGCAAATAACACCAGAACAAATGCAGGGGAAGATGAAAAGAAGATTAAATGACAAATTTAAGGTGTAGAGGAGGGGAAAACAGAGATCAACCTCAAGCCTATCATATTGAATTGTTGTTTCCATTAGCTTGAGGGGACCGCATTTATAGAGCTAGAAAATAGTGTCAGTTTCGTTTGGGACTTCTTTCATCTCAGATGGCGGGGAGATACCCAGATGGCTGTTGGCAGAAATCTGGCTGGAGCACAAGAGACATTGGTGCTGATAAGATAAATGCGAGGGTCATCAGCGCTTGGTCACAGCTTGAAGTTGGTACACTTTCTATCTCCTCGGGAAAAGCACATAATAGAGGTGTTTTGGGAAGCACCAGTTTCTGAGCAAAGGCAGGGAAATAAAAATTACTCAAGGACTCTGAAATAAATGGTCAAAGAAATAATTGAGTAACTACAGAAAAAAGAGCTCAGTCATCTGTGCTTTAGTTAAATAAAAAATAATGTAAGCAATTAAAGTCTAGACTCAGAAGAAATTATTCTCAACTATAACATATCTAAAGCAATAAATGCTCATATATATTGGAAAACTGAATATTTTTTAAAAATCAATGAGAAATAGATACTAATCAAAACTGACAAAAACAAAAAATGAAAACACTAAATAAATTTTGAGAAAATATTTATTCTCAATGATCAAATAAATACTAAAGAAATAAAAATTACCATTTGCACTCATGTTTATGTAAGTTCATATATTTGATTTGCTCATTATAAGATTTCCCATTGCTGATAGGATACTATTATTTTAACAGCATATATGTGTTAGTATAAATTATGTTAATATGAATAGTTTTCATTCTGACATATTTTCCCTCTTTTGTGAAAATATATTTAAAAGATAATTTAATTTGTAATGTACTATTATCCCAAAGCTGCAATCACATAGTTGTAAATTTTCCTGTGGCAACTTTATTCAAAAAAGAGAAAAAGAAAAAAAAAACTGTATTTCCTTCCTGTGCCACTATAGGTGACTGTAAAAATGAATTCATTTAATCACTAATTCAGTTTTAAACTAATTTAAGAAGTGCTACTTTTTGTAAATGTTTCACATCCTGTAAGTTTGGTCCTCAATGTAACCATAGTGAAAGATGCTGACTATTTACCAGGTGAAACCTAGTGAAAAATGATCGGGCCACAGAAGCATCACCTTTGGAAGGGATCAGATCAGATCTGCAGGTTAATTTTCCTAAGAGCAGGCATGATAAAACAGAGCCAAGCTCATGGGATTGCGCAAGCCATATCCCTTGCCTCCTCTCCACCAGGCCACGACAGGCTGGGCGTCCTGCACTTTCCTGCCTGGTCAGCCAGGGTCTGGACAGAGCCTGTCTTTATAACACGACTGAGAGCAGGCATCTTCTATAACAGCAAAAGGGGCTAAGCGGGCAGTTATTTGATCTTTCAAGTTATTTCCAGACTGTTAAACTTAATCTGTTCTATTTCAGGTAAATTTTTGTTTAGAAATAAAATGCCTGGTTTTTAAGTTAAATTACAACTCGTTCTCTATGCAATTATGTCATTGGAATGATTTAAGTTTGAATTCGGCTTTAGCCTTTATTTATTTACTTACTTGAGAGACAATAAAACAACATTTCACATTAAAATACATTTAGAACTATGATTTTACATTTTACGTAAAATATTCTCAAAAATATTTTTCCATTTTAATCTATTTAATCCTTTTCCATAATGGGGCAAACTGAAGAGTATTAGTAATTTGTGGCTTGTAAAATGCTGCAAATCTCCCCAAATCTATTAAAGTGTTACATAGGTTGGTCATTTAAAAAAATTATGAGCAACACATAATCAAATGAATCATAATCTGAATCAAAATTATCACACTTGTTAATACAGGCAATTGAAATGAACAAAGAAATAACAAAAGAAAACCAGGCAACCAGAAATTCTTAAAACAATCTGATACCAGTTCAGATGTACCATATCTGAAGCATCTGCTTGAAATCAAACATAGAAAAGCTGTTACTGTGAAATATGAAGTTTCACAGAAACAACTGGTTTATGAATATATTTTAGGAAATAACTTCAAAGATAGTTTAAGATATATCAGTTTTATTTTAGGATTTCTTACCTATTTCCAAAAAGTTATTAAAGATATATTGAGTATGCCTTTTGTTTATTCTTAGTACATCAATCTTACATCAATAGAGTCCCACAGATTACACAGATTTAAGAAATCTTCTACTCAAATCCTTTCCCTGTAAAATCACTGAACCTGACCAAGAGTTTTATTTTATTTATTTATTTATTTATTTATTTTTTTTTTTTTGGTACTGGGGATCGAACTTGGGGCTGGACACTTGCAAGGCAGGCAGCAGAAAAGAGTTTTAAAATCTAAGATGACTAGATTTAAGTCCAAAGCTTCCATGTGGTTTGTTGTTGTTGCTATTCAATGGCAAAGTATCAAGAGTTTTATTTTATTTTTTTATTTATTTTTTTTTTTTTTTTGGTACTGGGGATCGAACTTGGGGCTGGACACTTGCAAGGCAGGCAGCAGAAAAGAGTTTTAAAATCTAAGATGACTAGATTTAAGTCCAAAGCTTCCATGTGGTTTGTTGTTGTTGCTATTCAATGGCAAAGTACAAAAAATTTGGGTGGAAGTATTTATATTTCTTTATGTATCTCTTTTCAAAAGAGGTATAAATTACCATGATGATACCAGTTCTGAAAATACATTCAAGGACAGCAATGACATTAGAAGATGCCTAATATCATGTTGGAAAGTAATGTTGATCCCACAAGCTCACTTTAGATATTGCACTGAGGCTAAGAAACAGAATCATATGTTGCTCTAAAATCTTAGTAATTTTCATTATTTGGATGAGAATTAAACTTTTCATACTCCTATCTTTGTTAATTACAACATATGACATACAATATATGATATTGTAAAATATAATATTTGTTACATATGTCATAATATTGTAGGTGCATGTCACATATATACACAAGTATATATCATATGTGTATATAAATCTGTCACATTGGAAATTAAAACAAAGTATAAGATGAATAGAGGCAGATCCTATACAAAGTAAGTTGGTATCTTTTGGAGTCAAATGTTCTTGCTGCCTTATAGGGAAGCTCTAGGCCAGAAGAAGTAGTTAAAAAACAAAAAACAAACAAACAAACAAAAAAACACTGTGTTAAAATTCACAGGGAACAGGAAAGCAGAGAAAACTAATACTTGAAAATGAGCAAAAATTATAACATAAGAATATTGAAAAACCAAATATTTAGATTAGCTTGAAGATATTTTAGAATTTAAATGCTTATTAGAATATATCTATTCATACATTAGTCAATAAAGAAAAAAGAAAACAGACACTATATATAAACACACAATGAAATATTTAATTTTTTTATTCTGAAAAATGCTGACATTTAAAATGTTCACTACTAATAAACAGACTCACTGCAGGATATCACCTTACTTCTTGAGATTGAATCACAGTTCATTATCTGATATTCACCTCAACTTATCTTAATCATTCTACTTTATTTTCATTGTGTGTGTTCCAGTTTGTCTCTATGATGGTAGCAGAAATCCTAAATCAAAAGGAACCTACTGCCTGACAAATAGAAAGATTTCCTCGGTGAGATTCAGAATAGACTATATGAAATGGTAAAAAGTATTTTAGAGTCAGATATCTAACTATAGATATTATTATAGCTACAGATATATGGGATGTATCATTTGAAACTGACAAATCCATGCTTCATCTTTATTCTCTGAGAATTTTTCTTCCAAAGAAATAGCCATTGCTCATGATCTTCAAGTATCATTCATCAGTCATGTGTGGATGAAACAACTCAATAGAAATCAGGGAATATCACACTTAATGTTGTATCTAAATGCCACTGATGATTATGAGGATGTTGTGGAAACAAGAAAGCAGGTATTTTTCACACTGTACACTGTTAAAGGGACACTGAATTAAAAGAAAAAATTATAGAAA